CGCGGCTAGCCGGCTATGAGCGGCTAGCCGGTAATAGCCAGCCGATAGCCAGCCGTAGCCAGCCGTACCCATCCCTAGCCATGAGCGATACTTTAAGTTATTTAAATCCTAGAATACCCAAAAAACTCACTCTGATACAAGTCATTCTCAGCGATCTGTTCCATTAATTAATATTTTTGAATTCACTATATCGAGGGTTCATTAATAAATTCATATCGAAAGAATTTTATATAGAATTACTAAAAACTTTATTCTTTCGAAATTTTTCATTATAGAGTTTATTCTAACGTGAAGTAAAGCGTAGTAATAATTATAGCTGATAACGGGACACCGATTAGCCAATCACATTTAATGAAGATCATTAAAATTACAGCCAATTAAAAAGGACTTCTGTCAAACCATAGTACGCATGTATGAATGACAAGTTCTAACAAAGACGCTTAACTTCATCGTTGATCTAATCAAAGATTTTAATATCATTCTTAGCATTTCCGAAACAACTATACTATTGGCTATTTATTAAATTTAGACAGTTGGCTACACATGACTCTCGTTAATATCAACCTAAACCACAAGACAAAGTTTTACAAATTTTTATATATCAAAATTCCCTCATATATATTTACTATGATCCCTTACTAATATCACTATCAACATGAATATAAGAGTAATCTAAATGGGTTGATATTAGCGAAGGTCAAGTGTATTTATTAAATTTGGACAGCACATAGTATTTGTGCAGTTATATCGTTAATTATTATAGAGCCGAATAGGAGTTTTAATCAAAATAATCATTTAAAAAATCGATAAATCTTAATATAATGAGCATAAAACCTAACACCAAGACACGATATAGCTCATTTTGATGTTTATTTTAATGAATAAACAATAAAAACAAAAAAAGAATAATAGAATATGAAAGCATTTAATTAATTCCAAGAAGTTCCACTTCACTAAAATTAAAAAAAAAAAATCGTGAATGAATTGTATTTATCGAATAATCAGATCTATAAACTTTCAACTTACAAGATCAAGGTAGAATTACCAGGAATCTTTGGATAAAATATTAAAATTAGGAATAATATAATAACGTAATAAATAACGAAATAAATCATTTATAGGTTTGTCTACTTACAACATCACGATGGCCTTGTGCGCCATAACCATAATCGGGAGTGATCGTAAGTATAGCCTTTTGGCCGAGACTAAGCTGAGGAACACCTGTTAAATAGACGTAAATTCAATGCCAATAACAAATCTTGGAAATAGAAATGGGGTTGGGACTAATTAACTAATGATCATTAAAATTAATTGATTTCATAACAATAAATGTCTTCTATAAATGCACACGACACGTATACCCTTTTGAAGGCACTCTGGAATGCATTTATATAAAGTTGACAGCATTAGTAAAACATTAATAGTTGTTGGGGACGATGTTGAAATTTCAAATCATCCTCGACATTATTGATAATTAGTCAATCAGTTAATCGATTCCAACCCCTTCAAAACAAAACTGACAACTTGCCTTCATCCCAGCCTAATATTTGTTAAAAAAAATTGGTAAGGCAAAATGGCTTGAATAAAACGTAATAATAATAATAATAATAATAATAATAATCATAGTTTACATTACCTTTAATTACATGTCCAACACCAATTTTACACTCGAATGGTTTTCCACGCTTTCTAGAGCTGTCAAATTCTTTACCATTTTGGAGCGTACCAACATCTAAATTCATCAAATGTCAACAAAAACTCCATAAAATTTAAAGACATAAATGAGATATAGAATAATTACAATGTATTTTAACAGTATCTCCCTGTATGAAAAGAATTAATAATGGTTTGTGACGAATTCATGTTATTCTGTTGTTCAAGGCAAGTACATACCTTCTTTGGGAAGTTCTATAATTTTTGAAGAACGCAACATAAGAATCGCCAAAAAGAAGTATTCATTACATCAAAAGATCATTGGACTTACCACACAATCTCCCTCCTGAACAAAAGATTATTATTTAGTCATTTATATATTGTATAGGTAATTATTTTTGAATCCGGACAAATTTTATATATGACGTAATAACATTTTGGTCTGGATTCAAAAATAATCACCCATATGGGTGAAAACCTGTAAAAATTTATCCCCTGAAAGAATTGGATTAAAATACTGACTGTATATATAACTAATTACGTAATATCACAATTCTTCAGGGGATAAATTTCCACTTACAGGCTTTTTCTCTCGCTCACCTATCTATTATATGAGTGCGGGCAAGAGAAAATATACATTCCAAAAATGAATAATTATGAATTTCATAATCATTTATTTTTAGAATGTACATTTTCTCTCATATATTATTTCTTATTTTAATAAACTGAACAAACCTGGATAGTTTGGATTTGAACGCCCTATTTTTTTTTTTTTTAAAAAAAGAAAAATTTTGAAGTCAATCCTAAAGGCAAAATACCAAATTGCCAAATTATATAAGTTGGGCAGCTACATTTTAATAGGCAATCTAACTTATATGTTCAGAAATTGTCGGGATTCTACTGCTCTAAGGTGTTGCTATTTTATAATAACTGGACAAGTTAAAAATTTGCTGCTCACAAAAACACTTTGTTCTCGACCAATCTGTGTTTTGAAGATTTCTGGGAACAGTAAATTTTTAAATTGACTGTTTTTTAGTAACAATAATTACCATGATTACTATCGATATCGATATGAGTTAATCGACAAAAGATAGAAAAGTACGCACGCACTTTGATCGATAATCGATAAATGATTGACACGCCTATCGCAGCATAGAAGGCATTCGAATCCGGGGATCAACGTTACACAAGATTTACCGTAAAAAGCGGACGCAGGTACCCTGGGTACTTTCATTACTCATTTTTGTACCCCAGGATACCCTACGTATATGAGGGGTATACCGTATTTACTATATCAAGTTGGTATGATACATAAAATAGTATATATGTACTTACGTACCCGGGTATACTAGTGAAGGTACACTGCATTGTAAAACCAGACTTTTCGAGTCTAAGCAAAAAAATAATCGATGTAACATTTTACTACATAAGGGATAGCAGAACCGATTAGATTCGGGGTCCAAAAATCCTGAACTTGGCCAAACGATTTTAAATTTGACCAGAATTATAAGTAATCGGTCCTGCAATTTCAAATTAGCCCTAATAAACAAAACTTCCTAGCAAGTATCTCTTCAAGAAAACCAAGTTGAATCACGCAATAAAAGGTAGAATTGAAGTAATGTCTACTGTATAGCTTAATTCATGAACTTTAACATCGTTTTTTTGCTGTTTTCGTTATTATTCAAATAATTAACTGTTTTCTAAGATTATATGTATTTTCCAAACGATGTTTGATCCATTTTACATATACGATAGTATAGTTTTTAAAAATATTGTGGCAGATTAAAATAAAATCAGATTAAAATAAAATTTTAGAAGGTTAAATAAAAACCCAAAATTTCATTTTAATCTGATCCTCGACAATGATTATTGTTACGCAAAATAACATAACATAGTTAACAATTAAACTTTCAGTTGTGTAACATATTAATAGTTTAGTTTATAGTTAACTAATGATTGAAGTACGTACGTAATTACTCTCATAAACTTTGTCGATCATTACACATTTTATAGTATTAGCTTATACTTTGCATCTTGCAGAATAGTCAATGTGAGTCTTGTATATAAAGATAGATATTCTTGTAAATAGTAGTTAGTCTTTGGTTTGGTTAGTAGGTTTTATTTTGTCTTTGAGTTGGAGTAAGTGATATTTGGAAGGACTATAGAGTACCGGGTACACATACTTACTTGTATCGCTTGTGGTATTAGTACTTTTTGGTGCCTTGTGTGTGATAATAAAATATTTGGTTTCTCATTTTAATGCTTACGACCCTAAACTAAATTGGCTACGTAGATATAAAGTCTCTCCCCTGGTCGTAACTATCCATCTGTTTTTACAAAAAATGTATCACGTGAAAATAAAACCGGTTTATAATTGGCCTGCTACCATGCTTCCCGTCATTTGTTCGATGAAATGAAGTTGCTAAATCATCCTCTCCTTGAGCATTGTAAGTCGCTTATTATAAAATTTGAGGAGCAATTAAAAATAAATTTTTTTTTGTGTTTAGGCCACGCAAACAAAAATTTTTCGTTTCTCATAACCAGCCGGATTATTGAATCTGAATAGAGAAATTTAAATTTTTATAGGGCGCAGTATAGCATTAACCATCAAAATGCGCAATCGTAGTTGAAATTAATTATGCGCAAGATCGTTGTCTCAACATTTTTGTAAAGTTCAATATATTGAGATCAGTGTTGGCAAATAGAACAATAGAACAAAAGCCCAATTTTTTGTCTTTATAAAAAAAATATTTTTTTTATTAATAATTTGAATTATCTAAACATATATTGTTAGAGCATTAGTAAAGTAATAAATTTAAAATATTTTGATATTTAATTAATAAAATTTAATACTCAAAATTTACAATAGAAAAATAAAAAAATGAATAGAATTATAGGCCAATAGAAAAAACATATAAACGTGACAACCCTGATTGAGATATGTACCTTTTATAGGTTCTTTTCTTTTCCTTGGTAAATATGACAACAGAACTCTATCTTTGATTGGAAGGTTTGAAATAGTACGTAGAAATTTTCTAGAGGGTTACATCAAAGCTATAGATATCTAATTTCTTTTCATATTTATATTCTTGCTTAATAAGATAGAAATTTATATGTGCTAGCAGTTGAATTTGAAGTCATAGATGTCTCATTTATCTGTTGAATAATATTTTATTACATAAAAATATAAAGTTGCTATTAGCATATTGTGAAGCCGTATAACAATAACCGTTGCTAATTTGCATTAGATAAATATTAAATATTATTTTTTGATACGTACCTCAAACATTATAAATTGCTTTATTACCTTTTGTTGTCCCATTGAACCTATACTAATATTTTGCATTCCATATTGGTGTCACGAAAATTCACACCAATAAAGCAAGTTGCACTCATTATTAATCAGGTACGTACGTACGCAGAATAGTGAATCATGTTGAAAAGAATTTGAGATCGCATGAATCTAGACAATTACATCACAAGAGTTGCACTCATGATTAATCAGGTACGTACGTACGTACGCACGCAGAATAGTGAGTCATGTCGAAAAGAATTTGAGATCGCATGAATCTAGACAATTACATCACAAGATCTGGCGAACATAACGATAAAATTTTCTTACCGTTACAATCAGTTACAATTTAGGTTGGCAAGAATGTATTTTCGGATTTTAGGTTTTCTGATCCGAAAAATATGGTCCTTATGTCTGAAAATCATCACATGAAATTTGACCAATAAAGTTGTATGTTTATACTTATTTTCGGAAATTTAGGACCAACTTTAGTTACAATCAAAACGTTGATCTAAAAATTTTATATATTTCTCTGTCGAAAATTTTCTGTTACAGCTATTTACCTTGACTAATAATCTGCAAACTTTTTGTTAAAAATGGGTAAAAAAAAAAAAAATTTTTGTCGCGGCTGAAGCTTGAAATTTTAATTATTTTAATATGAAATTTTTTTGGCTTTTTTTTTAATAGTTAGGGTTTAGGGTTAGTTTTGAAAGAGTATAAGTGGATTTTGGTAGGATTTATATTTCTAAATCGAGATCCCTGATTTCAAGCTTCAGCCGTGACAATTTTTTTTATAAAACAACTAATTCACTAATCAAATAGGTAACGGAAAGGGAAAACCTGTAAATTGATTTACTAAATTTCACCTTATCGGCTTTGGCCCTTGAAGAAATCTAATTCTACGTGATTAGTTTTAGAATACACATCATTTCTTTTTTTTTTTTTTTTTTTTTTCCAGATCATTTATCTGTAAAAATATTATGTATGAATTGATGGCCAAAGCACATCAAAGCGACTAGAACGGTTAACAAGCACACTGAAACGACTAAAACAATTAATTTTACGCGTATTTGATTACATTTATTCAATTTTGCAGGGCCAAATCCGATAAGGTGAAAGTGAATCAAATATGTAGGTTTTCCCTTAACGTTCGCTCAAATTTCCCAGGGGCAGAATAATTATGTGGATAGTGACTGGACTCGTCAACTCGTGACTCGAATAATTTGAATTTATCATTCTCGAACCATGAAAACTCAACTCACGAGTTGCTCACATAATTAATTAATACGTAAGCTTATGTAATTTTAACGTAACTATGTAATCATTGAAATTTAAATAAACTGTATAATTGCCATGTTTAATAAAAAAAAAAGTCAATAACTTTTTAAGACATTTATACAAATATGGCACAAACAAAAGCAATAATGAACAGGAGAAATCCCTGCGCTGAAAAAATTAGTCAAAGTACTATTACAGAAAAAGCACAAACCTTGATCCGGAATTGGTGAGTGAACTTTGCGTAACTTGCCACTTGAAGTATATTTGCTTTTGTAATCCACAATTTACAAGACTTTCAATAAAATGTGACTCGAATTAATCGAATAAAACCCGAATAAATAATTTGAATGAATGATTCGAACGCTCTGCGGAGTTTAATTCACGAATCACGAGTTAATACGAGCCCAGTCACAATATGCATTCAAAGTTTTAACCTTACTGAATTTACGTTATTATTAAATAACGCTACTAGAAATAAATCCGAACATTACTTTTTGATGGAGAGTTGCTCTGATGATAAAGTATCTTCAATTTTGTCAATATTTATGCTATACAACTGACTCTCGATATAAGAAAGGTGGTCGGTACATAGTAAAAATTTTACAAAACTTTCTTATATTACTAGTTTATTAATAACCTTATATTGAGTGGATTTATTACAGGCTGGTTTTGGCTTGGCTTTTCTTTTAATTGATCTTTCTTATATCGAAGGTTTCTTATATTGAGAGTCAATTGTATATTTTCTGTTATTTCAACAATAATCAATAAATTCTTAACCGGTTATAACTTTATGACCAACCCAGTTAACAAAAAATATGGAACCAATAGAATAAAAAGCAGTAACCAAAATCCAAATAATATTCCAATTTCTGTTCGTAATATCTAGTATCCATCCAGTGAATGCCACTCCTAATACAGCCGGAATTCCAGCACATGTATTTCCCAACCCATAAATCGCACCAGCGTATTTTGGAGCTATGTCCAACTATTATAATATATTAAGTTAAAAATTATTATTAAATAAAGTGATAAAAATAATCATTAATTTACCTGAGACACGTGTACACTACAACTAAAAAATGAATTTAATGCAGTGCCAATTGATATTAAAATTATTCCTTGCAAAGGTGTTTGTGCTAAATATGCTGTCTAATGAAAATAAATTACAAATTGAAATACATTAATACAGGAAAGTAATCAAAAAATATTGAAAGACTTACACATAAGACTTACACATAAAAGAAATGTCGATGTTCCAACTGCACCAATTATTTGAGCTCCTCTCCGTACGGTTTTTACATGAATCTTCAATTTATTAATTGCGTAATCACAAATAACCCCAGCGATAATGCCGGTGATTCCTTGTGTGGCATAAGGAAGTACTAAAAAAAAGTTCATTAATTTTCAATATACATGCAAATGAATTATATTAATAATCATAATTACGAATAACAACATTATTATTTATGAAATAAATTTTTACCAGAATAATATCCGAAATTTTTAAGATTTAATTTAAAATGATCCAAAAAATAAATTGGTAACCAGTTTAGTATAATAAAGTTACCAAATGAGTTGCAAAATTGTGTAATGAGTATAGCCCACACTTCACGCCGAGAAAGAAGGAATATCCATGGAACTTCTTTCGGATTTGACATTATCAAATTTTTCGGCAATAGTACATCAGCTTCAGCTTCAAAAGTATTATCTTCTTCAACTATAAAATTATTATCTTCTTCAACTATAAAATTTGCTAATGGTACATCAGAGATTGCATTATCATTCTCACTTGTCGTTGATTCAATAGCAATCTCACTAGATTCTATTCTATTATAATTTAATTTTTTGCTAGGTTTATTTTTTTTCTTGCTTTTTGAAATCAAATCCAATTCTTCTTGACTTATTCCTGGATATTCATTTGGATTGCTTTTGCCATAAATTTGCCATAATATAGACCAAACAAATCCTGCTGTTCCAAACGTCCAAAAAATACTAGGCCATCCCAAAGGGCCTGATCCTAACCAAGTTGATATCATCAAAGCAACCACATTCCCTATATAAGCTGAGGCTACATACCAAATTTTATACTTATTAATAAAAATTATTATACTCAATCCTCTGATGAAATTGTAATTATACTTACATACTGTGGTTGAAACCGCTTTACTGCCCTCTTCTTTTGGAAACCATTTTGCAATCAAGGCGTTTACGGACGGAAAACATGCACCTTCACCAATACCCAAAAGTACTCGACATATTATGAGATATCCTAAACCAATCTTAGCGGAAATCGGTGTAAGAAAGGTAAATAGTGTCCATGTTGCGGCAGCTAAAAATATTTACATATAATTCAGTTAATTCATTTAAAGGTGCTAAGGTGAATTGTGAATTTAAAAAAAAAAGTTAACACATTCATTTCTTGACTATGCATAACTTTTAAAAAAGTACAATATAATATTATTTAACTTTATATACTTACAAACACTTAATACCCATTTTCCACCATATTTATCGGCAAGTGCACCACCAAAAACTTGTGTTGTTAGATATCCCAAAAAAAATGATGACAGTATAACACCTTGAATAGTTGATGTAAAGTTAAATTCTGTTGTCATATAGACTACGGCAATAGCCATGTTTGATCGGTCTTTTTAAAAATTTTATCCATATTTAGTATGAAATTTGAATACATTAACTATTAAATACGTATCAAAATAAATCGTAAATTTCAGACACGTAAGTACATACCTGCATAACTGATAATAATGCCAGTCACGCAAAAGATAAGAATGATTAATCGCTTTGGAATATAAAACTCTTGAAACAAATTAAAATTTTCAAAAATCATTTTTTTTGATAATATTCGATATGCGAAACTCATCATTATGACCTAAATTATACGCATTCTGAAGGCTGATCATTAGCATTCCGTATATTCCCGAAAATAAAGCCACCTTTTTGGCAGAAAAATTACACCAAAATTTACGGGTAGCTTATTTTCGAAATTAGAAAATTAAAATATCTCAGAGAATACTTGTTCAAATTACATGAAATTTTCAGAATATATGGGTTTTTATGTTCTGAACAACTTTACTTAAGAGCCCGAAGACAACTTATTTAGTAAAATTTTGACTTTAATATGTAGAAGCTATTTGCGATTTTTGCAAAAACAGGGTGGTAGCTCATTTTCAAAGGTAACTTAATGTCGCGGATCATGGTGAAATCGGATCATCGTGAAATTTGGGGTCTCAATTTGAAAATATAAGCCTTACCAAAATCCGTCTATACTCTTTATTAATAGCTCTAACCCTAAATACTAACTCAACTATAAAAAAAGCCGACAAAAAGGGCCCAAAAAATTTAGAAATCGTACACAAAATAGATCCAAATTTCACGATGATCCGATTTCACCATGATCCGTGACACTTAATTTCGGGACAATACGGTATTTGTACCTTTGTGTAAATAAAAACAGGAACAGGGGAGACCGTTCCAAATAAGGAAATGATGATCCCGATCATGCATATTGATTTAGCCAATCAAATTAGCGATT